AATAAAAATGAAGTCGAAAGTATGTAGAGTCAGGTTTTGTCCTTAATCGTGGATTTTGTAGAACTCGGTGATTTATGACCTCTTGAATCCTTTACCGTAGTCTCTACTAAATCGTGTTGAAATAGTAGACGCAGTTTAAAATAAAACAACAAAAACACAAACGTGAATTAAATTAGTTAAAAAATGTTTTCGGTGCTACACTTTCTTTTAAAAATAACCATGTCAATCAGCATTTGTCGCACTTAGTAATTTATGTCACGGATATTTTTTGGGTTTCTGTAAGTTCGAAAATCGATTAATTTAAACTGATTATTTATCATTGTTCTTAATAATGTTCGGTTAGGAAACGTGTTGCGTAACTGCGAAATGTACAGTGTAATTAGCAGTGTTAAAACGGTGTTCGTGTTTGCACACTGGCAGTCATAAAATTCCGGGCACTTTTTTAGAACAAGCATGAGACTTTCAATAAGAATGACCTGTATATTTCTTTTCTAACCAATTTTAATTAATCCTGTAATAAATAAAATTCGAAAAACAGCAACAGTAAAGGGATAGAAAGTTTGCTCAAGTAAGTCTTGGGAGCACATTACACGATGTATTTTTGTTTTTTTGCGTAATAACGTACTGCGAGTGTAGAAACTCATTACTGTTTACATATTTATTAGTTACGTACTAATTTTATCTAAACGACATTCAGCCAAGTGTGAGAAAAGATGTAAATTATAGCTGTCAAGCAATAACTCAACTATCCTAATTTTACACAAAAATGTCAATTTATATAATACAAGATTACAGTTATAACAACCGTAAACGACCGTTTTCTCCTACATAGTATCACATGAGCTGCAATTTATAATCCAGTGCAAATTAAATTTTGGCACCCTTAAGCCGGTGAACAGAAGTATATAGATAGTTGTTGCGACATAAATCTCCAGTTTGAACTCGAATGAAATTTCTAAGAACTTGTAAATTTATCATAGAATAAACACCGACAGCTTGAATGATACTTGAAATATTCACAAATGTAAACTTTCATAGAAATAGGGGAATTCGTGTGAACTACCATTGGAAAAATATTTTGTTACGTCAGGTTATTCTAGAATGTACGTTAATTGTACGCAAATTATTATGTATAATTATACTAGCTTCGAATTTTGACTTTTCAACCAAATTTCACTTAAATTAGATAGTAAGAAATCTTGAATACAACTAATACAAATATATAATATGCAACTCATCTCTTTTTGGTAGGCGCAGTGTTTGGATTTCAAAATTCTTATTTTCGCGTACTCGATACGAAATGTATATTTTGGCCATTATCATTGTAATTCCCCTTATTTAATAAAAACCGTTTGTTTCACGTCTATGACAAAGAGAAGCAAATTCCCGCAGATGCATCTACGTAGACAAAAGAGGTCGCCCAAGGCGTCCCAGGATCAAAGAATACGTATAGCGAATATCCGTTAAAATTGGTCTAATTCTGAAATTTATTTTCGCTTGAACTCCGCGTCAGAATCTAGCTCGATAATGTATGTAATAGAACTTTTTGAAATTCAAGTCGAGAATAGAGTATTGTCTGTCATTAACCTACTTTCTTAAAGAGTGTAAAATAAATTTTCAATAAGACGCCATTCTCATAACGAGCAGGCAAAACCTCAAAATACATTACGGTCGGCGCAGTTCCGTTTGTTTTGCAACCCGAAAAAAAGTATGTATAAAATACGGTTCACTTCCTTATAAACCCGACAATAACAGCGAAAAGTAAAAAGTGCATTCTTTAGTAAATAATCCGGAACACAATATAAGTCAGACCTGTCGAAAAGAAAAAGTCGAATTTGCAGTTCCATCTTCACGGCACAACGTAACATCTGTCGATAACCTTTCTTCGTTCCGACATGGTAGTCACATGGTCGACAAAACAAGGAAAAAAAAACTGATGGGGAAAGTGAAATTCGAGAAAATGTTCGTGGTCGGGGGGAAATCTTCGAAGAACGTTCGCGCAAAAATCATCTAACCCGCACTACTCGTAGATGAGGTCAACAAAATGTTGCCAAATAGCCATGGTAAAAAAGTCACGACTACGTGTAACCGTAGTGGGAGAGAGTGGCAAAGCAAAGATTAGAAACAATGCAGCTATCTATTACGTTAAGTAAAAACATCGAGCGGACGTAGAATTTATTTTAACGTAATAACGATTTTGTTTGCGACGATAATAATCGCTCCTTCTGGTCGTTGGTAGTGTACGTTAGAAAGTAGCTGCTGCCTACCTCAATATCGCTGCACGCCGTCCCGAACTCGCACTAAACCACCAAGTGGATCGTCGTCGTCGCAAATATCTCGTCGATAACGCTTTATCAAGGCGGAAACCAGCAAATAATCCACGCAAAGGGAAAAAATGTGCGGCGAGGAAGCGGCATCGAATTAATTCCGACGAGTTAAAACCCCGTCTGGTACGCGTCGCCGTAAAATCAATGAAAGCCGGAGACTAGGTCAGGCCGTCGTCGTGGCACGTGCTCGGCAGAGCACGAGGTGGTTACCTGGTGGCTGAGGTGGTAGTGGACCAGGAGAGCCTGCAGAAGCCCCTCCATGGCGTCGTCGCCCGCCGCACATGTCTACATCGCACCAGCAGCACCGCACTGCACCGAGACAGACCTTGCAATGCCATTCATCGAGGCCATCGCACGGCAACACCGCCTTCAGCTATCAGCTGGCGCCGGCCGCTGTTGCCGCTTCGCGCATGCCGAATCACAACGCCGCGTTCTGGCGCACTCGGCTCATTCGGCGGCGAGACGCGGCCCTGGGAGGTCGCGCCGCGCGACCACGAGTAGTCAGTCGCAAGTGACAGTGCGTCAACCGCAAGTGCACCGAGTGCCCCAGCAAGTGTCAACGCGCCAGGATAAATAACGAGTGGTGTGTCGTATGATGATGATGCTGCGGCTGCTGCGTTGCGGACGGTCTTCCGTCTTCCGTGGGATCCGCTCTACCTGAGGACGTCCGTTCGCCCGACGGGCGCCGGCGGGTTATTAGCCTCCCCCCATCTCACGACCGAATGACGAATCTTCCGATTCTGTTCCGTCGCCTAATACGGCATGCACATGGACTGGCTGGTGCATAGATGTCGTTGTTTCCCGGCAATTAGCAGTGAAAGCCTTGAGCGGATTAAACCGTTTTGCATAAAAATGACGGGCGTTTTTCTCGCCAAGGTCTCGCGAATGTTCGAAAGAAAGAGAGAGAGTGAACCGCCCGCTGCGCTTCCACTTGTCTGGTCTGTGTGTCGGTGTGTGTGAGTGTGCCGTAATCGCGGTATAGTCGGACATGATACTAAATGCCGAGACCGCTGGCTGAGTTGTGGCGCAAGTTCAACGTTCGCCGCACAATGCGGCTGGGTAAATCGGGCTTTTAGTCCTTCAACGCAACACAAGTGGCCCGATTTTAACCGGCGAACAAACACAGTCACGTCCCACGCGGGATTATGACGGACACAAAAAATTATTACGATCGCATATTGGCGCACTTGCTACAGAGCACCTCGATTGTACCTCCCGCTATTAATAATTATGTTTGTTTAACAAGCCCAATTTAGCATCACGTTCTAATCTACGGCAATAATTGGAATGTCACCGCCGGATGAACCCGAACCAAACTTACTTCTCGAAGATCTCGATGTCGTCACCTCGATAACGATGCGATAAAACACGAGGATGTAGAAAAACTGTTTCTGAAACTCCCAACACCAATAAATCATGCAACAACATCCGAAAAAACTGGCGACGTCACGCGTGTTTATCTAATCTGCGTAACGCTGTTACAACAGAAAGAATACAATTACGCGACCCGAATTACTGCGCCGAAATTATTTTCTAAACAATTAGAAAGCTATTCCAGCAGATTGCAAGACTTACCAACATAAAAGGAGCAAATTGTTGCGCGCACACGTCAGTAGCCATAAAAATTACTCGATGTTAACACCGCCGCCGCGAACGAAGAGACGTCATCGGAAACACACAAATAACGTAGATACTGCCAAAGATAATCGAACGTTTTCGAGTTCGACTTGTATAAATAACTTTTGCTGCCGACTGTACTAGATTCGCATTGCAACTAAGTGCAACGACACCATTCTTATAAAACCGTACACCTCACGACCGATCTTCTCTAAACACGTTTACATATTCGACAAACAACGGGTTGAAGAGAGAGAAGACGAGATCGTTCACACAATCGTCTTCCAAATCGCGCGCTGCAATCGAGATAGGTGTACACAACGAAAGGAAAAAATATGGCGCACACGTCCGATTTCCGGAAGCAGCGCGCTAAATTCGTTTTTCGTCGGTTGTGAGTCGACCTTTCCGATTACGAACCCCGACTGGTTGGTTCCATTCAAGTTTTAAAAAATACAAAAAGTCCATAACGACGGGTCGCACCTGCATCTCCCCCTTTTGTCCGTCCACCACGGCAATCTCTTTTCAGTTCAAACAAAGACGTTCAGTCACGCCGAACAAAAGAAGATCGATATTTTTACTTAATATTTAATCAAGCTAACTGGTTTCTACTAGATAAAATATTCAACTACACAATATTCAAACAATGGAATACCTACAACGTATGTAAACAAGGCGACTGAAGGAGTTATTTATAAAGTCGAGAATCGTGCTGTATGCGGCTTTTTCGCGGGTCTTGTGTTCCTTTCGGTTCTTTCCGGCGATTTGCGCGACGACGGCAACCTTTACCTAGGCCTACGAAATTGTTCCAAGTTTTTCGCTACGCCGATTCAAAATTAGAAACTAATTAGTAACCCGCTGTGCGCACTCGCCAACACCTTGCGTCATTACCCAGTGTCTAGTCTACGGACCTGTTAACTAACTACAGCCTATGTCAACTAATAGTTAGAAGAAGAGAGATAATCATCGCGGGTGCGTGATGGGTGAAGAGAGGTGGATGGTTGATTGGAGAGAGAAAAAAAAAAGATAAAATAAAAAGTTGTGTGTTTAGGCACTCACCCTAGCGCCAAGGAAGCGCGCCTCCAGGAGCTCCTGTTTCCGGGGGTCGAGCGCCGCCTGGAAATGCTCCATCTTCACTCCAGCGCCTGTAACAACGCCGAGGTCACAGATATATGCATTTCAAGGGGGCTAAAGCGGGATAAAATCGGGACTGAGTGAGAAAGAAAGACCGGATGGCAAGGATACCCATTCTACGCTCCTTCTAATCAAACCTGGACCGCGGTACGGCTGCCATCCGTTAGGAAGAAAAAATAAAATAAAAAAAACGGTGTTAGTACGCACACACCCTAAGCTCTCATTCTACAACTCGCATTTCCATACTTTTTCACCAATTTGCAAATCAGATTGCCGTCCGAGAATAGTTTCAATGTCAATCTGTTGATAGGCCGAAGCAGGCGCGTTCTATTAACTAAATTAGAGCGAGAAAACTGTCCGAGAACAATGGGCTATTATTGTTACTACTACGTTCGTCGGCTGCCGGCTACTAAATAATTGTAATTGTCCGGTACTCCCGATCGGAAAAAATGACATTTTTCGCCGTGGGTTCGACTCTGCAGAGATTACCATCGACAATAACAATATGGCGTCGAAAGTCCGGAAGTGGCCTGGCCGTGACGTCATTCGATCTCGCGTGGCACGTTAACATTGATCGGGGCGGGGGGTCGGTGGGTGGATTTTGTACGGCGGCACAAGGACCCCCAATTACGACCGTCAGATGGAGCCACTGAAAATTGAAAAAGTTCCTCCTTGGGGCAACACCCAAGCAGAGAGAGCACACTATATATAAAGGCAACCACTTTGTCGAGAGCGTCAATTCTAAACTGATCCCGCGAACGACATATCCAGGAATTTTCGCACTGGATAGTGGAGGAGATGCAGAGAACGGGTAAACAGCGACCCCCAAACGTTGCAATTCTATTTCGCCCGCCGACAGAAAAACTATTCGCCTTATAAGGTTATCGTTTATCATCTCATTATCTATGGAGTAGAGTTATCGACGCACTTTATAAATAGAAACATTAAAAACTTTCCAGTTTTTTGTTTGTGCGGGCGCCTGATTAATAAATGAGGCGACCTTGGCGGCACACAGCGGTCCCAAAAATGCAAACATCGCGGACAATTCAACACGACTGACTAAAATTATCTTGTATTATTCCTCTAATAGCTCAGTTTGTTTTGACGCTGGCAAAAAATCCCGGTTCTGGCAGACTCTTCCCTTTAACCTAACTAAGTTTTATAATCATGTTGATAAAGCGTGTGAAACTTAACTTTCTGCGTAAGTCTCAAAAGTGCCACAAGATAAACAAAACTCGAAGGCTTCATTAGTCCAACGAACGCAACAATTTTAACTCGAGTTCTTCAGACGTATAAACCGCACAAGAACGCCTTGTATATTAAGTATCGTCCGATAATTTTGGCGAGTGGCTGCGCGATGTTTGGGGACTTCTGGGCGGCGATTTTTCTGGGGATGCGAAACGAAACAACCCAACAATCAATACTCCATCAATCCGACATTCGTGTCCACCGCAAATTTCGTAGGTGTCGATCCGAAATGGCGGCGACCAATTAATAAACTCCATTACTGTCTTTTTTCGGTTAATAGCGTCAGAAGACACACCCAGATTCAAAGATCAATGCTTTTCCGTTGGGGATCAAGGGGGTGGAGGTCTTGTAACGGCCCCGTCCGCCCCTCGCCTCCTTTTATTACGAACGCATCATTTTCTGTCCGACTTTCTCGACTAATTATAAAATTCTCGATGGTGTTGTAGGTAAACGCTAGGTGGAAATTGCAGCAACCGCAAGCTGTGAGATCGATATCTAAACAAAGTCGGATGGGATAAAAGCAGAAAAGGTTAGCATGTAACATTCCGTCATGCGATTCCGTTCTAACTACAGTCTAGCCGAGTATGATGTGCAACCAGTTCTGGAAGGAACGAGGGTTCCGTTCGACCGAACGAACAAAAGGGTGCACACGTCACCTACGAGGAATTATACAGAACGTCTCCCACAATCCGAGACTAAAATCTAAATACAGGGCGTGGCCGGATCCTCTTTTTTTCCTCTCTGCATCAGTCAAGGGTTCAAATTATCGCGCGCTACGCTTTGATCCGCTTGTGTACTTAAAAGGAATTCACACCCGTTTTGTCAATCGCGCGGTTAAAATTTTGAAAAATCGCACTGGTCCGACTTCAGCCAAATCTACTAATGATTAAAAAAACCGTCAAGTCAAAGTGCCTGTGGCAAAAAATGCTCCTAGTAGTTGTGAGTCACTTAACGTCACCTCATTTGTCCCGAAGGCAATAAAAAGCGAAAAATTAAGGCGACCCTTTTTAAGTGCCGCTTACGCAGCTGGGACTTTGTCAAGCAAACTTAAGAAATATGGCAGAGTAAATTGACACTTTTATAAGTTCATCAACCACGTGAGAAGTGGAAATCACCCCTAACTCATAATTTTTGCAAGTTGACGAAATCATAAATGTCGGTTGTACAACTATGCCTTAAGTTATCCAATTTTCATTAATAAATTGATTAATAGAATAAACGTTCTTTGCCACCTGTTTTTAAAAGGTTACCGGTTTCGGTTATTAAACCTTCTTTGGATTTCAAACCGGCAACCTTTTAAAAGCAAAAAAACGTAGCAGCGAACGAACGCCTAAATCCCCCACTTTATTAATAATACTGCAAGCTCCATGATTAAGTACCCTATCGGAATTTTCGTGGGCCACCGATCAACCTGAACCGTATTGTAGTTTCGTAATGTGCACAATTGCTCATTTCGGTGGTCAACAAAATAAGGAGTGTCCGTAATTCCTGTTTTCGCGACAGGTTTTCCAATGAACTCGGCCCTTTAGCGTAGACGAACGGTTCTTTAACCAGCATTCTGACCTTGATACACTACGTTTTATGTCAGTTAAGTAACGACACACGTTTCGTTTGTCACGAAATTTTTAAACGTATGTAAATGTTCCGAACCCCTCCGTCTGCTCGAAAGAGCGACGTATGCGTTCGACCGAACGAGCACAGGGTGCACACGTCACCTACGACGAATTATACAGAACGTCTCACGCAATCCGAGACTAAATCTAAATACCAGGGCGTGGCCGGATCCTCTTTTTTTCCTCTGTACATCAGTCAAGGGTTCAAATTATCGCGCGCTGCGCTTTGATCCGCTTATTGCTCCCGTTTGTTCCAGGTGAGCTGGCCGTCCACAGAGGTGGCGGTTTTAATATGCGGATAAGTGCTATTTCACACCGGAATTTTAACGTAACGCCGAAACGGATCAATACATTCACGTACATGTAGACATATTCGGTTTTGCAGAAATTGAGTGACCAATAAAATGAGCAGATCGCAAGATGAAAATGCGACGGCGAGTCCACTCGTGCTTATCTTGGGGGTGTCTGCGTATCCAAATAAATTGAACTTTGTTCATAAATAGCAACTTCACGGGCGTCGACAAGGCCGCCATTGTCATTAGTTTCTACGAGCGGATTACGATTACCTACTTGAAAGCAGTGGCGTGTAGATACGGGAAATTTCTGGAAGGCCCCGATCCTGACCACTGCGTTTTTCGGACCTCAAACGCGAAATGTTAATGCAATATAAATTAAAGCCGAGTTCAAAACGTTCATTACTTATCTTTAATCCGTACGACTTTATTTAATGAAGCTCGTCACAATCGATATGACAACTTGATAAAATAATTCATGGATTCTAGGTCGGTCATTCATTGACTTCATTTTTATTTCCAACGTTATGAAAAGGAAATAAGTTGCTTCTATTACAGAACTAATTTGCACCATATTGGTAAAATTCTTTCTACTTGAATTTAAATGGGGTTTGCAAAAGGTGAGTGCGATCACAGTCACTAATAATAACATCATTTTTGCAAACAAACATTTTCCACTAATTTTTAAAGTATATGTACACAACATCATTGTATATTATCACCAGCAACATGTTCACAAAATTCAATGGAAATAATATGCACTAAAAGATCCTTGAACTAATATCCCAGTTCGCTCTGCATTTTTCTAGAATCTTTGAGCTCGCTTACACTTATATTACAATTTATGTTTTTTTTTTTTTTTTCAAAAATATGAATTATTCTAAAGGCCTAGTTGCCCCCGTGGGTTCAGAACATATGTCAAATTTGGTCTGTGACGGGAGCTATAAACGACCAAAGTAACACAGACATAATCTCGAGCGGTTTATGCAGATTTATGAAGCCATGGCAAGAAAAGAGCATGACAAACCCTCGGATGCTCCCTGTTCGTAGGTAGAAAATCTGAGGGTAGAGCACGCTCTCATAAATCCTAATAAACTATTCGGACATTATTTCTGTTACGTTTGTATTTAGTGCCTTAGTCACACGGGTCAAATTTAAGTTGTACGACTATAACACACAGAACTTTTGAAAATACCTTTTATGAAAATAATTTCACGATTTTATATTTATCTATTGCAGAAGCGAGAAATTACACATTTAGAAAGGTCACAAGTCCATTCAAATATCCTTCAATAATTAATACATATAATTAATTTACGGAAGTCCACGAGAAATAATTTTGAAGCGATAAAATTTTTTCGAAATGAAAATATCTCGTAATTGTAACAGGCTCAATTCAAGGTTACAACAATATTTCAATCCTTACGTAACTGTATTCACAGCGCAAAATAATCCAGCATATTGAAAATGCATAATTTCTTTGTAGCCTAGTTAGCAACTAACTTTTCATCAAGTCAGTAATGAACCTCTTCCACGACATTCTACGAACAATACCGTGCTTACGATGACTACAGAAAACGTGCCAACGATGACAATGTCAAAACGATTGAAACCGCATCACCAATGGTAGTTTCGTTTGAACGTAACTTGTAGTACTCTTGGCACAAATCAACAATATTCTCATAATTCAACAGATCAAATTTCATTGGCACTGTTCCTAAAAATGTCAAAACTGACAATTACTTGAGCCTATATTTGATCTTTATGTAGACACAATATTTGTATTCATTCGTCATACAAGCAGAACTTAATTGAGTAATGTGACTTTAAGTTTGTGTATTCTAACCAATCGATATC